GTAGTAGTAGCAATAGTAGTAGTAGTAGTATAAATTAGTAGTATAAAGTAGTAGTATTAATGATAGTGATTTTATTGAGAGAGAGAGAGAGAGAGAGAGAAATCACCTCTCCAATTCTCCCCAACTTTCTACTCTCTCTCTCTCCTCTTCATCTCTTTCACCCGTTAATTCTCTCATTACACTTTCTTTTCTTCCAAATTCTCCAAATCTTTCACTTTCTCGAAAGACGTTCACTCCTTTAAAACTTTCTTCCTATGAGAATTTCTTCCTCTCTACACCTTTCACTCTCATTCCTACTTTCTCTCTCCCTAAGTTTTTCCCTTCCATTCCAACCTTTCCTTTCTATTCCTACATTCTCTGAAATTCCTACTATCTCAGATTTCAACTTTATCGTGAATTTTGATTTCCCTTCCCATTCTCGCTTTCTATTCCATATTTTTCTTCGATATTTTCACCCATTTCTAATTTCTACCCATTCTTAGTGTCCCTTTCATTCCCACTTTCCCTTTCATTACCACTTTCTTCCCTTCAACATTTTCTTCCCACTCTCCCTACCCATTCCCACTCTCCCTACCCATTCCCACTCTCCCTACCCATTCCCACTCTCCCTACCCATTCCCACTTTCTTCCCGGGATATAAACACAGCTCAGGAGAGGACATATAACCCCGGGGAAATTAACACGAGGAAAAAAAACAGATGTTTAACAGAGTTTAATTTAGCAGCCGAGAGATAGTGAGGGAGGGAGAGATAGTGAGGGAGGGAGAGATAGTGAGGGAGGGAGAGATAGTGAGGAGGAGATAGTGAGGAGGGAGATAGAGGAGAGATAGTGATAGTGAGGAGAGAGAGAGATAGTGAGGGAGAGAGATAGTGGGGAGAGATAGTGAGGGAGGGAGAGAGGGAGGGAGATATTGAGGGAGAGAGAGATAGTGAGGGAGGGAGAGATAGTGAGGGAGGGAGAGATAGTGAGGGAGGGAGAGATAGTGAGGGAGAGAGAGATAGTGAGGGAGGGAGAGATAGTGAGGGAGGGAGAGATAGAGGGGGGGAGAGAGATAGTGAGGGGGAGAGAGATAGTGAGTGACACACACACACTGTACAATCTAGTCACCACTATTCTTCAGCTTAAATACACACGTAATAATAAGAGACTTTTATATTTCAAAAGCAAGTGTAAAATAAAAAGTTAAAACAAATATTATATCCGTGTCATATAATACACATTTGAAGGTAAGTTTAATAATTAATTACTTTACTTCAGGACTCGTGTTTAATAATAATGTTTGTCACAAATACTTCAATGTTTAGCTATGACATCACCTGTAATGTATATATATTGACTAAACATAAATAACGAACAAATATGATATAACTAATGTCAGGTTTTCATATTTGTATTTAAAGTTTAAGTTAAATCGTTTGACAATTTACGATCACCATATTTCGTGCTAAATATTTCTGTCGTGAATAAAACAATTCTATTTCTCAGAGATGTGAGGCTAATTAACATATATCTAATAATATCGTATAATTTCATGTATTTTCGTTGTTTAATTAAGTCGAGCAATATTTCCTTTAAAAACAACTTTGCTGTGAATAAACTAATATTTATTTCTAGGAAAATTCTGTAAACAATTTATATAATCATAAATAATATTTAAATAGGGTATATTTCTGCCCGCCTGTCATGTGTACAATGGAGGGCTGATAAATGGCTCTGTCGTAAATAATCTCAGAGCCTTTACTGAGAGCGGTGTGTGAGAGTCTCTCCTAGTGTGTGAGAGTTAGTCGAGTCTCTCCCCCAGGCACTACAGCACCTCACAATAGTGACGTATTCACTCATGCAGGAGGTACATCAACCTTCACCTCACCTCCTCTACACCTGTCCAACACACACCTGCTGCCCGAGGTGTAGACTGAGCTATCCTGAGCCTCCAATCCCGTCCCTCTCTCTCTAGCTGATACACAACTATGCTCCTCTCTCTCTCTCTCTCTCTCTCTCTCTCTCTCTCTCTCTCTCTGGTCTAGAGTTATGATTGTCTCCGTCACGGTCCTGACTCTCGCCCTCAAGCGTCGAGTTTGTGGCTGTTAGGAAGGTGTGGACTAATTACTCCCTCTCCTCAACACTCCAGGAATTCGAGGATTTTACCTCGGCCATGTTTCTCTTCCCTTACCTTGGCCATGTTCCCCTTCCCTTACCTCGGCCATGTTCCCCTTCCCTTACCTCGGCCATGTTTCCCTTCCCTTACCTTGGCCATGTTTCTCTTCCCTTACCTAGGCCATGTTCCCCTTCCCCTACCTGGGCCATGTTCCCCTTCCCCCAGATGTAACTGGCCACGCCCCGCTGTATTACACACTATTACAGAAAGTGTTGTACGTCGCAGCACAAAGTTCATTATATTTCATAAAGTTGTTAATTTCAGGCGGCCGAGTTGAGTATAATAGTGATGTAAGTTTGGACTTGGTCACTTTTTGGCAACTTTCAGCCGTCCTGATGAGACCAATTACTGCACCTTCCTCCCCCCAGTGTCGGAAAGTTAACTAGTACATAATTACCGCCCACACTGACCGTTTACAACATCATTATTATCCTGCATAGACTGTCTCCCACACAGACTGTCTCCCACACTGTCTCTCTCCCACACAGACTCTCTCCCACACTGACTGAGAGAGGGACAGAGAAGAAAATATAACTACGAGAATTTAACGAGGGATTCTGCACAGGTGATAAATCGTAGCGCCATACCGCAGATAAATACACCAATTACTTAACGAGGGGGAACAAATCACACCACAGACGGTAGACAAGGTAGATTATCGCTTCAGTTTAACGCGGGGAATTAGTGGTAGGTGAAATAACCATGTCAGATGCGGTATGTTATATTGTGGAAGATAAATGTGTCAATTTTAACAGGAGGAAAAGTACAACGGGAAACATAATCAAGATAAAATGGTAGGTGGAGGTGGGAGGGAAGGGGGGGAGGAGAGTGAGGAGGGGAGTGAAGGAGGGAAGGGGGAGGGAGGAGGGAGGGAGTGAAGGAGGGGAGTGAGGGAGGAGGGGGAGTGAGGGAAGGGGAGGGGAGAGAGAGGAAGGGGGGTGGGGAGAGAGAGGGGGAGGGGGATGGCGAGAGAGAGGGGGACAGGGGAAGGGGGGTAGAGGCCAAGCCAGATCCGGGCAGGTCGGGGGGTCAGGTCCCCTCATTATAAGTTGTTGCCTGAGTTAACTTCGTCGTGAATATCGTTGTCCAGGGACCTGGTGGTGGTGACCTGGTGTTGAAAGTCACATCAGGTCTTGTACACACACACGACATCCCCACATAATAACTTCCTCTCCCTAACTCCACCTAATACCCGATAACGTGTAAATTTAACCTAATAAATTTCGAGCCTAATAAGACCTATTGTAGTGTAATTTAGTTATCTGATGGATGGAGATTACTGACTGAAATTACACCAAGTTATAGAACGATTACTGTAATTTTCTCGCTGTTCCTGAAATACTGTAACGTCTCCGGCCGCTGTAATGAACTTGAAATATATGAGGCGATTGTGTTGTTTTACAATGCGTAAAGGTTGTTCTTTTTTTTTCTTCTATAAATGTTAAGGTTTCGCCCTCAAGTGGTAACGTGTGGCGCTAGACTTGAAATTACTGATCTAGAGAGAGTTTTTTTTTCTCAAGTGCATTAAACTGATGGACTGAGCCAAGTAAAGATCTCTAAATGATTATATTGGTCTCCGGAAGATGGCGGTGATGGTCTCCAGGTGACGTGAAACATCTCCAGTCATCTCCTGGGATCTCCAAGAAACTACTAAGTTATCGAGGCTTCTTTCAGTCTCCAACAAGTTTATAAAATATCCCCAAATATCTCTCAGTACCTTCGTTAACCTCTGAGAATCTCCAGGTCGTGTTGTGGTGAGAGAGAGAGAGAGAGAGAGAGAGAGAGAGAGAGAGAGAGAGAGGAGGAGACGTCTTAACACCACGACGGTCGGAGTCACTTTAATCCAACGGGGCCAGCGGTGTCACTTATAATTTGCACTCCCCTGGATATCCACCCACCCACCCACCCACCCACCCAAGGCTACAGATCTAACTTAATAATGACATTGTTTAAGTTTGCCCGACCTGTCTTGCTAAGTTGCTTCTATGGAAAGGTCTCGTTAAAACTGTTAGGTTATTACTGGATACTAACACGTGTGCTGACATCATCAGACGCAGAGCTGATGAAGAAGAGCTGAAGAAAAGGAGCTGAAGAAGAACAGAAGAAGAAGAAGAAGCAAAAATATATGTATCTTGAAGCTGTTTGAGAGGAATAATCTTAAATATGAGTGAAAATAATCAACGAAATGGAACAAAACAGATACAGGCTTGTGAACACCTGGTCTCCAACTCATTAATACAAATATCCAGCGGCTGAATGAGGGAGTTATTGATGCCTCACAGACTCTCCAGCATATAGAGTGTCTTTAGAAGGTTAGATACACCGCTAATGGCTCACAAGGCGTATGGACTTAGACTCATCAGGCTACCAGTGTGTGTGTGTGTGTGTGTGTGTGTGTGTGTGTGTGTGTGTGTGTGTAAAGTTATTGATGAAAACTGGAATCACTAATTTTACTTCAAGAAAGAGGATAGAAGTGAGCTAATTTACTTCAATAATGAGAATGAGGATAGAAATGACCTAATTTACTTCAATAATGAGAATGATGATAGAAATGACCTAATTTACTTCAATAATGAGAATGAGGATACACGTGACATACAATGACATCCACAAATGACAGAAGACGGTAATCAATGACCCGATATGACAGGGGCAAGATGAGACAACACCTCACACAATGTTTTGAAATAGGTCGTCTTGTTATCATGTCCTAAAAGCCTTATAAAGCCTAGATAAGGTAAACAGCCTCAACACCAAACACCTGAGTCTAAATAAATAAGGCTAATAAACTTGGTTGTTAATGGATAAATAGACATACACCTATTAATATCCCCTTACTAGTGGTTTAATAATAGCCGAGGATGTGGGGTATTCTGGAGGAGTGGGTATTCTGGAGGAGTGGGTATTCTGGAGGAGTGGGTATTCTGGGGGAGTGGGTATTCTGGAGGAGTGGGTATTCTGGAGGAGTGGGTATTCTGGAGGAGTGGATATTCTGGAGGAGTGGGTATTCTGGAGGAGTGGGTATTCTGGAGGAGTGGGTATTCTGGAGGAGTGGGTATTCTGGGGGTGGGTATTCTGGAGGGAGTGGGTATTCTGGGGGTGGTGGGGTATTCTGGAGGAGTGAGTATTCTGGAGGAGTGGGTATTCTGGAGGAGTGGGTATTCTGGAGGTGGGTATTCTGGGGGGTGCAGGTATTCTGGGGGTGGGTATTCTGGGGGGAGTGGGTATTCTGGGGGTGGGTATTCTGGAAATTGGGTATTCTGGAGGAGTGGGTATTCTGGGGGGGTGGGAGTATTCTGGAGAGTGGGTATTCTGGAGGAGTGTTATTCTGGAGGAGTGGGTATTCTGGAGGAGTGGAGTATTCTGGGGGGTGGGTATTCTGGAGGAGTGGGTATTCTGGGGGTTGGTATTCTGGGGAGTGTGTCTGGAGGAGTGGGTATTCTGGAGGAGTGGGTATTCTGGGGAGGTGGAGTATTCTGGAGAGAGTGGAGTATTCTGTGGGAGTGGGTATTCTGGAGGAGTGGGTATTCTGGAGGAGTGGGTATTCTGGAGAGTGGGTATTCTGGAGGAGTGGGTATTCTGGAGGAGTGGGTATTCTGGAGGAGTGGGTATTATGGAGGAGTGGGTACTAGATACCACCCCAGCCTATACCTTCTTATCAACACACTGTTGATAATGATAGTGGTTGCCTTTCTTTATATTTGGCTATGTTAGTGTCGTGTGCTCTCTCTCTCTCTCTCTCTCTCTCTCTCTCTCTCTCTCTCTCTTCACTGCCACTAGTAGATAAGAAAGGTGATATGGAGTTTATTCTGAGGACTGATGCTACAGACGGAGAGAGAGAAGAAGAAAAACTCAACACCCTGGCCTGGCTCCCACCAGCAGCTTTAAGGTGACAGAAACGCACAGGTTATCAGGTGATGACGTCACTACCACACAACACTATACAGCACAACACACACACACACACACACACACACACACACACACACACACACACACAACACTATACAGCACAACACACACACACACACACACACACACACACAATAAACAGACAACATTACAATCAATTAAAGCAAATACAAACAACAAACATATTAAAAAAAACCCACAAAATACACAAGATAAACATAAAACAAACAAACACCGACAGGACTGAGTTAGAATAATATAGAGGAAATAGTTATAATTATCATTACTCGGCAGCCTAGTTAGTGATAATGACAGATATTAACGAGTTTTTAATTACGCGACACTAGACGACTAACAACATAAGAGTGTACGTGAGGTGAAATTTTGCGGTCGTAAAAGTTGGCGGGGAAGCTGTCAAACTCACTTGGCAAAAATTGCGAGAATTGGAAATTATTTGTTACTGAAGAGGAGGGAGGGAGGGAGGGAGGGAGGGAGGGAGGGAGGAAAGAAGGAAGGGAAGGAAGGAGGAAAGAAGGAAGGAAGGGAAGGAAGTGAGGGAAGGAGGGAGAGATGGAGGAAGGAGAAAAGGAGGGAATAGCAAGTGAGAGAGAGAGAGAGAGAGAGAGAGAGAGGATATTACATTATTACTGTGTTAAGTCTGTCACACCAGTTCAGGATATAAATGAATAATGATGACAATAAATATGATGCATAATAAATAGTACACTAATAAACAATATATAACGATGATAGTATACGCTCTCTACCTCAGTAAAAACCACTTTATACACTACACAGGTGTTGACAGGTGTGCCCAGGTATGACTCTCTACCTGGTGGTGTTGATAGGTGCGATAATTACAGCAATACACCACCACAGCACAACACACCATATACCACCACAGCAAAACACAACACAACACACATACCACAGCACAGCACAACACCACCACAGTGTACTAAGTCATATAGTGTTGACAGTGTTATGAGAGGCACACATACCACTCACCCTGTACACATTACCTTCATATTGCTCACATATATTCTCTATGCAATAACTCGTAAAATGCTTCCAACGTTATGATGATGCCATAATGAACGGACGGACGGACGGACACACGCACACACACACGCGCACACACCATATTGCACGTTCTTGTACTGTGCAATTAATAGTGAAATGTTTGCAATGTTGTGACGCCAATATTGAACACACCAAACACTATTCATCACAAACATCTGAGTCATGACCCTTGCAACACATACGATATATTGCTCTTGTGTTGCATATGATTATACTCTGCAATGAGTTCATGAGTGCTTAGAATGTCTGCTATGTGCTCTGTTAACACAACTAAATCCACGCTTTTGAGGGCTTGGCCTGCTGTGATTGGTCATTGTGTATCGAGAAAGTTTCCTGTGTCCATACCTGTACTAACTCAGGTGAGGTTTAATTAGGTTTGTTATTTTGGTTTAATAGGTCTATGGGAATAAACTGAACCTTATGTTAGGTTTGGTTTTAAATAGAGGTTAGTCAGGTTTAATTATGTTGGGGTAATTTAGGCTGTGTTAGGATAGGTTAATTTAAGGATAGGATTAGGTCATGTTAGGATAGGGTGTAGTGTCATGTTAAGGTAGTATTAGGATAGGTTAATTTAAGGATAGGATTAGGTCATGTTAGGATAAATTAACTCGTCTAGTCTGATTATATTTATAACTAAACAGGTTTAATTAAGGTTATGGAAAGGTTTAGTTTACGTGAGCTTAAAGTGAAGCACCAACCGTGGTTTAGGGAGGCCAGCAGATGCCATCACGGATAACGACCAATCACCGTACTCCATGCCCCCAAACGAGTGTGTTTTACCAAATTGTGTCCTGGGCGACACCCTTCTGTATATATACCCCCTCACCTCTCCCTTCCCTCACCTCCCCCCCCCTTCACTCATCACCTCCCACCCCCCCTTCCCCCCACCTCCCTCATCTCACCCCTCCTTCCTCTCCCTCATCTCTCACCCTCCCTTCCACCCCTCCTCATCTCTCACCCCTCCTGCCTCCCCCCCTCCCTACCTCTCTCCTCCCTCCCTCACCCCTCTCTCCCTCCCTTCCCTCACCCCTCCCTCCCTACCTTATCCACGCCACGGTCCTGTACACAATCAACTAACAACATTCCTTTTAACTTTATGGTACATCGTGCAACCAAACTAATCCCGACCAACAATTCCCAGTCCAAATCCAATCTATATCCTCAATGTTAGCGATTCATGCACAGCGCTTCGACACGACCCCAACCAAAGACTTAAAACCAGAGATCCTATATGAAGTGACCTGTGTTATATAGGACTCCTGTGTGTGTGGGTGTGGGTGGGTGTGTGGGTGTGTGTGTGGGTGTGGGTGGGTGTACCTGTAGCTGTCTCAGGAGGTGTTTGTACAGTGTTGTGGTTAAGTGTTGTGTTGTGTCGGGTTTTTGACTTGAAGAGAGAGAGAATTTCCACACTATACATCACACTACCACACATCACCACACCATAATAACCACACACGTACGCCACCACACTACACTACCACACATTACCACACCAAACTACCACATACAACCACACCACATACTTCACTGAATCATACCATACTGCCACACCAGACCAGACCACAATACACACAAGTACCACATCACACTACCACGCATCACCACACACCTCAGTGCACCATACCACCACACCAGACCACACCATCACCCTCACAGCACCAAATGGTTGATTAAACAGATGCGAGTGAGTTGAGACAGGACGGGTTGGGTGGGGAGGGTGGGAAGGGCGGGGTGGGCGGAGTGGGCGGGGGAGGACCTGAGGGTGAGGCGCCTCCAATATTCACACCAACTCGAGTCTCAAGTTATGATTGGCGGGGAGGTAGACGACCCACTTATCCTCTCTCTCTCTCTCTCTCTCTCTCTCTCTCTCTCTCTCTCTGTACCTTCATATTTCCCTTTGCCTGGAGAGAGAAAGAGAGAGAGAGAGAGTCTCCACAAACACAGAAAGACACGTATTTCCTCATCCTCTTATTTACCTTCGCAAAGTCCGCAGGAGGGAGGGAGGAACTGAGGAACGAAGGAGGGAAAGAGAAGACAAGGAGGCAAGAATGGAAGGAAGAGGGAGGGATAAAGTGAGGGAGGGAGGGAAGAATGGAGGTAAGGAAGTAAGAAATGACGAAGGAGAAAGTGAGGAGGTAAGGAGGGAGGGAGAGAGTGAGGGAGAGAGTGAGGGAGAGAGTGAGGGAGGGAGGGAGAGAGTGAGGGAGAGAGTGAGGGAGGGAGATTTAACAGACAACCATTTTTATAACTAATACAGTACAGAATTAACAGCCCCAACTGTACCCTGTAACAGCCGTCTTCTACACTTATTACAGAATTAACTGTAGCCAGTAAAAGCCTCGGCCCGGCACCCTCACCTGCACAGCCACATTCTCCCACAATCAAGGAAATTTATCGACGGATATCAGGTCCTTAAGCCAATGGGTTTTGCAGATAATGGTACGTTGCTGTTGATTAATGGGTCACGTTAAGGGGAGTTTTGCGTGCAAGAGTTCTTTCCCTTTATGTCGTGTGATATATGACCACATGTTGAGAGATTACGAGGCTAATAAGAGATATTTTTCAACCATCTCCAAGAAGGAAGTTGAGAAGACTAACTCCCTGCTACTCCACCGCCTGCTCCTCCTCCTCCTCCTCCTGCTGCTGCTGTCTCGGTGTTTGTTATGGTTTTGATGCGCTTTTGTTTTCTGTGTACGATATAAGGCTTGTGTATGTCTGGTATTTATTGTTATTGGCTGATGCGTTTTTGTTTTCCGTTTATAGTACAAGAGTTATATATGTGAGGCAATATTTTGTTCCTGGTTATTGCGTTTTTGTTTTTCTAGGTGTAGTATTAAGGTTGAATATATACGTGTTTAATCCCATTGTGTTGTTAGCTGATGCGTTTTTTTTTTTTACCTATAGTTTTAAGGCTGAATATACGTTTGGCATTAGTTTATTACTGGTTGAGGTGCATTAGTCTTCTGTATAGATGTCACAACCACACCATGTGACTCGCTCGTGTTTTATGGAGTATATTCTGCCTTTGTGTCTATTGGAAAACGTTATATAGGCCAAGATCAGCCATTTTCTTCTGCTTCTTTGGTTTGTTATTGCCTGATGCGATTTTGTTTTACGTTTATAGGTTTGTGTGTGTGTGTGGGATCATGGTGAAGCGGAGAGTATAATCCCTTTTGATTCTATAACGTAATTTAATATTGTAGGATGCGATTTTGTTTCATGTGTATAGTATTAAGGGTTACAGATGAGAGAGAGAGAGAGAGAGAGAGAGAGAGAGAGAGAGAGAGAGACTACTATATCATGCTCCTTGGTGAAATAGGTCATGCGCTACTTAACACGAGGTATGATTATTGTCCCCACCAATTATAGGAGACTAATTATACCTGTAACTGTACTCTGAGGTATAATCATGTATTTAAGTAATTATACAACTTATATATACCTAGCATGATCAATTATATTTGTCAATAGTAATAGATAAGTGTATAATATTGTTAAATTTATTATTATTATTATTATTATTATTATTATTATTATTATTATTATTATTATTATTGGTCTTGGTCTGCTCACTCCCCTCTCACTTCACCTCTTACTTCCCTCTCAAAAGCCTTTTCATTTACCCTCCCTCTCAGATTCTTTTCGTTCCCTCTCGTCACTTCCAGTTTCAGTGTCCTCTGTCTCTTCCCTCTCCCTCTCCCTCTCTCTCTCTCTCCTTTTCTCACTCACACGCTTCTCTCACTCTACCTCTATCTTTCTCATTCCATCCCTCTCTCACACACAAATCCCTCCCACCCCTCTCGTACCTTCTCTCTCAAGCCTCTCTTACTCCCCCCTCTCTCTCTCTCTCTCTCCCCCAAACCCCTCTCACTCGCCCTCTCACAAGATCAGGGAAACTTAGACCAAACTTAGCTAACTGCAGAAGGAATTATCGTGAGAAAGTTTACCGTGATAACTAGAGAGATTTAGAGTTCCTACGGTAATTAAAGCGAATTAGAGAGAATTAGAGAGAGACTTCAATTAGTAGAATGGTGGTGGGGGAGAGACTGCGATCTCTAATTTGTTTAATTAAGTGGAGGGGAGAGAGGGAGAGTGAGAGGGAAGACGGGTGTGGGGAAGGGAGAGATGGAGGGAGGGGGGGGACTGGGGGGGACTGGGGGAGGGGAAGGAGGGAAGGAGGAAGGAAGGAGGAAGGAGGGAGTGAAGGGAAGACAGACCGCAGAAGACCAACTTTGGTACATTAACTCGGTACTAATGTTAGTGTTGTGTAGGGTGCTGACAGTGAACAGTGACTCGTGTCTGTTGCTTACACACACACACGCACACACACACACGCTTTCTTTTTAATATCGTTGGTATAAATATTTCTCTCACAATACAGTTTTATTAAGAGTGTCATACGTGGCTGGTAATTTATGTAAATAATAATTGCATAATTTACCACAATGAAGCAAGTTTTAATATCATTCATGCTCCCCACACCACCGTCCGCTTACCACACCACTGTCAGCTTACCACACCACCGCCCGCTCACCGCACCACCACCCGCTTACCGCATCACCGTCAGCTTACCGCACCACCGTCAGCTTACCGCACTACTGTCCGCTTACCGCACCACCGCCCGCTCACAACACCACCGCCCGCTCACCGCACCACCATCAGCTTACCGCACCACCGTCAGCTTACCCCACTACTGTCCGCTTACCGCACCACCTCCCGCTCACCGCACCACCGCCCACTCACCGCACCACCGCCCGCTAACTACTTTTACACACCAAAAATCATCAACTTACAAAGATCACATGTTATTACATTTTCCTTGAGTAGTTTATAAATAACCTTAAATAACTTCCTTTCCAGAGAGAGAGAGAGAAAGATAGTCCATTATCTCGCCTCATATAACATACACAAGAGCTTGAACAACATTTATCGAGTCCAATATTGGCTCCTTTAAGTTCTTTTATACCACCAACAGAACGCGTCGCCGCCTTTATTGTCGTGGACGGTAGATAGAGGCGCACCTTCTTATCGGGTAAGTATGATAGCGTCTTTGTCCCAGCCTTGGTTGAAGAGCTTTATTGTTTATCATTGTTTGTGTATAATGTTTTTATACCTGTACTATCTGTGTACCTCTACTGTTTGTGTATGTGTTTGCATACTTACACTGATTATATACATTGTTTGTGTACCTGCACTCACTATACATGACGGACCATACTTACAATATGGCACAAATCACACTATCACATGTTAACAGTTCCCTATAACATACAGTACATCCACCTGCCTCTCTTATACACACACACACACACACACACACACACACACACTTTTCTCTTAGCTACAAACCTCAACATTTATCTAACTGATCCAATAACCTACAATTGACTCTCAAAAAAGAAGTTAAATTTTTATCGTAAGTGAAAACGCATCTCAAGCTTCATTATAAACTACGATACAAATGACTGTACTACCAAGATGGCGTCGAAATCTCACAGAGACTATGGTGTATGTATGTTGTTACGTCGCTAGTTACGAGGAAAAGAGGAACTTGTAAGTGCTAGTGAATTCTATTAAAGGTTACTGTTGCCTCACGCTGAAGAATTATGGCGGAAACCTGTACTGGTGTAGTGGGGGGGGGTGAGGGGGGGTGAGGAGGAAGAGAGAGGATGAGGATGAAGAGAGGGAAAAGAGGGGTGTGAAGAAGAGGAGGGAACAGGGGGGAGG